GCGGGATATTTAAATCCTGGGCTTGATTTGCAATTCCAGTCACCCTCATTAGCCTCCCTAGATCGATCTAGGGGGCTAGTGTAGACGTACCCCTAGATACTTTTAAAACTGTGGATATCACTTATTTTAGCTGAATGTTATTTGAAGGCTTCTGTAAGGTTATTGGGGTTTTTTTTTTTTTTTTTGAGGTTTGTTGTTTTTTAAGTTTTTCCAGTTACAGTCTAACTTGGCTACCCCTCTGAAGCTTCTGTGAGGTTAGACTCAGCATCATTCCTAGTGGCTCAGGACTCAGGTAATAAAAAAAACCTAATATCTCTGTCACTGTCTAAAAGTGTTGGGGTTTACAGCAAAAACATTAGTGTGCCCAAATACTAAAATGCCCTCTCATTTTACTGGTAACTAGTACCCATTCCCATCAGATTTCTCCCTCTAGGGAATGGACCATGAAAGTTTATTGGATAGATAGGGAAGAGTGACCATAAGTAGCTAATGATATGTTCCCATCTAACAATGCATAGATTTCCACTTCCTACAGGCTGATGAGGTAGCCAGTAGGAAATGAACCGGCATAATCACATAATGATATAATCATTTAAACATCAAAGAAAACCATCTTGTAGCAGTGAAGGCCTAATGCCCATAAAATAAGGTGATGAAGTCAAGCAAGCAAGTCCCTGGCCTGTTCTTTAGTAGGCATTTCAGTAGATCATACTATAAACTAACTGAATTGCTCCATGGGTTTAATTTTTCTAAACTCTTCAGTCAAGGAGCAATCTGAGCATAACCTTTTTATATTTGAGAGAGACCAGGAGAATGCATTCCTTGAGCAGATTATTCAAAAGTTCAAGAGATTGAAATTCATAGACATTTTTTGCACAGAAGTTCTTTATTTTGATCCTTGTTCTACAGTGTTCCATTTATGGCAGAAGCACTAAATCACACCACATCTATGTCACAAAAGGCAGTAAAAAAAACCTTACACTGCCTTTATTAATGCGTTTTAATATATGAACACTTAAGGCAGATGCATTTATTAGTGCATTAATTTAATGTAATCTAATTATTTATTTAAATATCTCTCTTGGTGCCCATGCAGTGATCCTGGAACCAATTCTAGAAATGAAAAATACAACATACATATAGAAAAAGGATTGCCCATCAATATATTCATTTCAGTCTATTTCCACGTCTCAATAGTATTAGCAAAGTGGGAAAATAGATGGGCTTTGCTGTGTGCTCAGAAGCTTAACAAATACTACATCTGATAGCCCAAGGAAAGGAACAAGTTCCCAAAATGTAACACCAATGAAGAAATTAGAATGATCTCTGCATTGTACGAAGGAGAAAGGATCAGCCCCACAGCACTGTATTTTCTGAGAATCCTCTTCCCATTTATCAAGCCAAGTATGATCAGATTAAAAACAAATCGCTCTCCACATCCAGTTGGTGAGATTATAATGTTAACACTTCCCAACAAAAAAAGAACAAGGGGAAAATGCCAAAAATAATTAAGAGAAAACAAGCAAATTCACAATTTACTGTTCCTTCAGCTCCCTGCTGCAAATGAGAGTGAGGAAAAATCACTGTTGTGGGCATAAATTTTAAATGCTTGATAAATTCAGTTGCAACAGCCATGTTCATACTTCAACAAACTCTGAAGTAATAATTTCCTGTTCTTAGACATCAGCTTTTTTGTAGTTATTTCTAAATGCACCACCAAAGTGTTCTTATTTTCCAACTTGCTTTGAAGTAAGACCACAATGGGTGGCCACTAAAACCAGAGGCTTTGGGGTATATCACACTTATTGCAAATGAGCAACTTTTGATGTACTTGCGACATCTGAGAAAATACAAGTGGTGTCTGCTCTCCAGCCCTAAAGTCAGTTCTTGCGTGATTCATTTCCAGATGCCTTTGCAGCCCCCTTAACGTTGTCTGTCCCGTGTCACCCATTTGGCCACAGCTGAATTTTCCTTTCTGAAAACTGTGGGCTGGCTTTATATTACTCATCTCATCTCCCATCTCCCCAGCTGAATTACAGGAATCATTCTAATATTTTTCAGACAGAAAGGGGTCATGAGTTTCTACACCCACAGAGCTCTCTAACACAAAAAATGTTTCAAGACTTTTTTGGGGAATAGAAGTAGGCCTTTCTTTCATTCTTTTCTCTCTTTAGCCCATTCTGAGTCCATTGCTTCTCCTGCTTTCAAATGAAGGAAGAAGAATATCAAAAACATTTATGGAGTTGTAAGACTTTAAAATGCTTAGAATGAGAGCTTGTTAATCACTGGGAAAAATCCTGCAGTCTTTATTTAGTTTATGTTAGTATTCAGTCCTTATTCAGCCCCGGCTCTCTCCCCCCGAGCACTGGAGAGAGATGAGGGGGAAAGGAAGACAGGCAGGATGAAGAGTGAGATGATGACATCACTCTGTTGTCCCACAGGAAAAATTATTTAAATGGAGAGAGAGATTTTTAAAAAGTGCATAATTGATTAATTATTTAGAGATGTCAAAAACTTTTTCAAAATACAGTGCAATGGGGTTCAATAAAAGACCCCTGAAGTTTTCAAAATTTGAGTTCCTATTTTAAAGTACTGTTTGCACAGCTATTTTTATTGTGCTAGTACAAATCCTACTAACCCAAGTCTGCCAACCAAGGTTTGGAGCAGGGATGGCCAACCCAAGGCTTGCGAGCCGCATGCGGTTCACAAAGAAAAAAATTGCAGCTCCTGACAGAACCAGGATGGAACCTGGATCTGCTCAGGTTAGCTACTCTCACTACCAGGCTGCTGTGAGCCACATGCGCGCTCATGGCCACACCGTTCTGCTCATGGCCCCCAGTGCACTGCATCATATCCTGCACGTGCAGGCTGGGTCACACACAGCGTCCCAGCCTGCACGTGCTAGCAGCCAGCCGCTGAGCACAGGCAGCGGCTTTGGGACTCGGGCATAAAGTAGGAGGGGAGAGCTGCCTGGCTCTGGAGAAGGGGAATGGGATCAGGTGGGGGGGCCGTGGTGCGCATGGCGTCCCAGATGCGGCACAGCGGCTCTGACTCGGAGACCCGAGCATAAGGTAAGTGAGGGAGGGGGATTGGGTTACAGCAGGGAGGGAAGGTGTCTGACCCGGGGGAAGGGAAGGGAAAGGAAGGAAAAGGAAGGGAAGGGAAGGGAAGGGAAGGGAAGGGAAGGGAAGGGAAGGGAAGGGAAGGGAAGGGAAGGGGGATTGGGTTGCACACTGCGTCCCAGCCTGCTCATGCTCAAAGCCGGCCGCTCAGTGTACGTGCCCCAGCGCCTGGAGGAAGATGCGCGGCTGTAGCAGTGGTGGTGGCTTCAGGACCCAAGAATTAGGTTAGAGCTGGGGGACGGGGTTAGGAGGGGGGTGTGACTTTTCTGTGGGTCAGTGACCATTAACTCAACAGGTTCCTCACCCCTCTCATAGATAAAGACAAAGCTGAAATATTCTGTGTTCGACATAGTATTTTATTTAAAAATGAAGCCTGGCCAACAAACCCCCAACTGGGGCCAAGCCCCCATCTGGCCGCAGCATCATAACACTCCTGCAGCCTCACCCCCCGGTCCGAAACCTGAGCCTATCATACACTGGAACCCCCAGTCCTGAGCCTCTCACATCCCCAAACTCCTGCACCCCCACATCCTGAGTCTTCTGCCACAATACTTCTGCACCATCCACACACCGCAAATCTGTGTCCTGAGCCCATCATACTCCCAACCTCTCTTCCCTGAGTCCCTCATATACCCCAACCTAAACTTCTGCACCCTCACATCCACAAGCCTGTGGCTTTCTCCGTACCCCCACATAGCCCAAGGAAAGGAACAAGTTCCCAAAATGTAACACCAATGAAGAAATTAGAATGATCTCTGCATTGTACGAAGGAGAAAGGATCAGCCCCACAGCACTGTATTTTCTGAGAATCCTCTTCCCATTTATCAAGCCAAGTATGATCAGATTAAAAACAAATCGCTCTCCACATCCAGTTGGTGAGATTATAATGTTAACACTTCCCAACAAAAAAAGAACAAGGGGAAAATGCCAAAAATAATTAAGAGAAAACAAGCAAATTCACAATTTACTGTTCCTTCAGCTCCCTGCTGCAAATGAGAGTGAGGAAAAATCACTGTTGTGGGCATAAATTTTAAATGCTTGATAAATTCAGTTGCAACAGCCATGTTCATACTTCAACAAACTCTGAAGTAATAATTTCCTGTTCTTAGACATCAGCTTTTTTGTAGTTATTTCTAAATGCACCACCAAAGTGTTCTTATTTTCCAACTTGCTTTGAAGTAAGACCACAATGGGTGGCCACTAAAACCAGAGGCTTTGGGGTATATCACACTTATTGCAAATGAGCAACTTTTGATGTACTTGCGACATCTGAGAAAATACAAGTGGTGTCTGCTCTCCAGCCCTAAAGTCAGTTCTTGCGTGATTCATTTCCAGATGCCTTTGCAGCCCCCTTAACGTTGTCTGTCCCGTGTCACCCATTTGGCCACAGCTGAATTTTCCTTTCTGAAAACTGTGGGCTGGCTTTATATTACTCATCTCATCTCCCATCTCCCCAGCTGAATTACAGGAATCATTCTAATATTTTTCAGACAGAAAGGGGTCATGAGTTTCTACACCCACAGAGCTCTCTAACACAAAAAATGTTTCAAGACTTTTTTGGGGAATAGAAGTAGGCCTTTCTTTCATTCTTTTCTCTCTTTAGCCCATTCTGAGTCCATTGCTTCTCCTGCTTTCAAATGAAGGAAGAAGAATATCAAAAACATTTATGGAGTTGTAAGACTTTAAAATGCTTAGAATGAGAGCTTGTTAATCACTGGGAAAAATCCTGCAGTCTTTATTTAGTTTATGTTAGTATTCAGTCCTTATTCAGCCCCGGCTCTCTCCCCCCGAGCACTGGAGAGAGATGAGGGGGAAAGGAAGACAGGCAGGATGAAGAGTGAGATGATGACATCACTCTGTTGTCCCACAGGAAAAATTATTTAAATGGAGAGAGAGATTTTTAAAAAGTGCATAATTGATTAATTATTTAGAGATGTCAAAAACTTTTTCAAAATACAGTGCAATGGGGTTCAATAAAAGACCCCTGAAGTTTTCAAAATTTGAGTTCCTATTTTAAAGTACTGTTTGCACAGCTATTTTTATTGTGCTAGTACAAATCCTACTAACCCAAGTCTGCCAACCAAGGTTTGGAGCAGGGATGGCCAACCCAAGGCTTGCGAGCCGCATGCGGTTCACAAAGAAAAAAATTGCAGCTCCTGACAGAACCAGGATGGAACCTGGATCTGCTCAGGTTAGCTACTCTCACTACCAGGCTGCTGTGAGCCACATGCGCGCTCATGGCCACACCGTTCTGCTCATGGCCCCCAGTGCACTGCATCATATCCTGCACGTGCAGGCTGGGTCACACACAGCGTCCCAGCCTGCACGTGCTAGCAGCCAGCCGCTGAGCACAGGCAGCGGCTTTGGGACTCGGGCATAAAGTAGGAGGGGAGAGCTGCCTGGCTCTGGAGAAGGGGAATGGGATCAGGTGGGGGGGCCGTGGTGCGCATGGCGTCCCAGATGCGGCACAGCGGCTCTGACTCGGAGACCCGAGCATAAGGTAAGTGAGGGAGGGGGATTGGGTTACAGCAGGGAGGGAAGGTGTCTGACCCGGGGGAAGGGAAGGGAAAGGAAGGAAAAGGAAGGGAAGGGAAGGGAAGGGAAGGGAAGGGAAGGGAAGGGAAGGGAAGGGAAGGGAAGGGAAGGGGGATTGGGTTGCACAATGCGTCCCAGCCTGCTCATGCTCAAAGCCGGCCGCTCAGTGTACGTGCCCCAGCGCCTGGAGGAAGATGCGCGGCTGTAGCAGTGGTGGTGGCTTCAGGACCCAAGAATTAGGTTAGAGCTGGGGGACGGGGTTAGGAGGGGGGTGTGACTTTTCTGTGGGTCAGTGACCATTAACTCAACAGGTTCCTCACCCCTCTCATAGATAAAGACAAAGCTGAAATATTCTGTGTTCGACATAGTATTTTATTTAAAAATGAAGCCTGGCCAACAAACCCCCAACTGGGGCCAAGCCCCCATCTGGCCGCAGCATCATAACACTCCTGCAGCCTCACCCCCCGGTCCGAAACCTGAGCCTATCATACACTGGAACCCCCAGTCCTGAGCCTCTCACATCCCCAAACTCCTGCACCCCCACATCCTGAGTCTTCTGCCACAACACTCCTACATCATCCACACATCACAAATCTGTGTCCTGAGCCCATCATACTCACAACCTCTTTGCCCTGAGCCCCTCACATATCCAACCAAACTCCTGCACCCTCACATCCACAAGCCAGTGGCTTTCTCCGAACCCCCACCCTCCACCCCAGGCCACACCTCC